GCCTCACACTCTTTCCTCTCACACAGACTGTAGAGGAGAAATGGGACAAAAGGCGTCACCCACCTGGCAGAGGAAGCTGAACTAACAAACCACTAACTCTGGAATCCTTGTTGAGTTGCACTGTCAGATCTAAGAGCTCTTCCTCAGAAATGTCTTTAGGCCTCACAATGATCTCACTAGAAATGCCTGAGGGAAACAAAAAACAGGAGACACGTTAGCATCAGGAAAGGAATCTAAGGGCAGCTTGGTCATTTAGTCTAAAAACCTGCCTGAGGCTGAAAAACTCTTTCCTAACAACATTTCAATACAGAATTAAACTTAGGGCTCCCACTCAAGTGACATTAAAACTACTTTCTTCCTATGTCCAGGCAATTTCTTTTCTTTAGGTTCAGCAGAGGAGATGAGGAAGAAAATGGTGCAAGATTGAATTAAGACAAAACAGGGGATTCCTCCTGCTTTATTCTTTTATTTTTAAGTAACAGTATCTTGTGCTTACCAAAGGATCACTTTTATGACATACCCACAGCTGCAGCTGCTTTTATCTTCTTCCTGACATAGATATGACTGGCTGGATTGTCTCCTACTAATACAACAGTGAGATGAGGTCTCTTGTTCCCAGCAGATATCCACGAGTCTACATCCCTTTCAACTTCCTGCAACACTTGGTTGGCAAGCTTTGTCCCTGAGAGAACTGTTGCTTCATCACTACAAAGACAAAAAGATACACAACATTTAGGTCTGAAATTTCACCAGGAAGACACTTTTAAGTGTGTGATCTTCCATGCTAACCACTGCAAAACACCTCAATTCATTTGCTAGTATTTCATTTGAAAAACACACTACAAATCCACAGGAAAAGAAGTGGTTCCCCACTCTAATCTGAAGAGCATTAATATGCCATCACTGCACATGGAAAAGGAGCCCAGCAGCCACAAAAGTGTGGAAAAAGGAAGGTTTTTGGTTCATCAGCTCTTAACAAAACACCATCAAAGGATTACTTGATCTTACTTACTCTAAATTCAGTCTCCGTAGGCTTCCCTCTCTGAGATGGAGAATTTAACATGTAAACACATCAACACTGTAACCCCTGCCTTGAACTGCAAAAATTAATTAAAAAAGACGACTGTTTGTAAGTGACAGTGTAGCAAAGAGTCCAGAGGAGTTATCATGAAAAGGTGTCATGATAACTCAAAAAAAAAAAATCCCAGTGCCTGGTTAAAAAAAACACCAAAACCAAACAAACAAAACCAAGCCAAACATACAAGCAAAAAGCCAAATAGCACACACACTCTGCTAAAAACAGTTTGTCCAACTGGTTAGCAGGAAAACAAAGTATTAGAAACACACTTAGCACAAAAAAAAAAAAAAAAAGCACAAACACCTTGCTTCGTTCCATTTTACACCCAAACCCCAGTTTCTGTACTGTTTCACTTACAGAAAATATAATGTAGGCAACAGGTTGGTTTTATTCTTTTCCTCTGTGGCCTGCTCTGCATGTGCTCATTCTCACAGATCTCTCTCTCTCTTCTTCATTCTTTATGGTTCAGCTCTACATGCCCTGGGCACAAGACACTCCTTTCCAGGTACTCATTATCCCAGACAAATAATTAAGGCCCACCCGTGCAGCAATGCCTTCCCCATTTAACTAGACAAGGATTTTACAACAGTTTGGTACCCAAAGTGTGCTCCATCCATAGCAATGAACATCGTGTTCCTGTGCCACTTGCACTAGAAATGCATTGTCTAATGACAACTTCCCCCAGCCTCTAAGCAAACCATGTTCAGTGCACATTCCTCCTCAAAACCTGCCCTCAGGCTCATGAAGCTCTCAAGGTCTCTCCTCCCTGAAACCTCACCCTTCTCACCCCATCACCTTCAGTCTTCTCAGTCATCCAAGGATCAAAGGCAAAGCAAGTGAACACATCAACAGTGCTAAAAAGGCACAAATCTAGAAGAAAAAAACACCTGGAAACACACAAAACTAGGAGAAAACACATGGAATGCATCCTGCCCAGGAGGTGCTGGGATAAGGCTCTTCACACCTGCATCTGTCCAAGGAAAACAGGGAGTTGTACAAACCCCAGCAAAAGGCAATTTTAAAAGGCAAAGACTTGTCTGGAAACAAAAATGTTTCAAGACAAAACTACTCTGACAAATTAACACTCTGGGGCAGCCCAGATAGAGAAGAGGAAAATTATTTCACGTTATTCCACATAGGCAGAAGAAAACAAGGACAATTATACCTTAGCAAAGAGTTCCCTCTTTAGTAATGTCCCAAACTGCTTCCAGGATTGCACTTCCAGCTTTATTTCTGCACGACACCAGAGGAAGGGTTGACCGGCTCAAAACAAGCAGGTGGGAAGTGTGTTTGGGGGAACAGGTTGAGCTCTGTACAGGTGGGACGGCCACTGCTCCGCCCTGCCCTC